GAGTGGAAAGCATTTTGTGTTGACTAGCGGGTGAATCTTGTCCAAGAAATTCTCAATCCACTTTGCATAGTAGGTACGCAAACATACCTAGGGCTCTCAGCAAGGAAGACTTATTTGTGGGAGGTGGAAGCTCCTGAAGGGGACGAAGTCTCTCCGAGTCAGGCTTAATGACCCCATTTCCCACACAATATCCCAGAATATTGATACTGGGTACGGATTTTATGGTTTTAGAGTCATTGAGCGTTATGTTTTGCTGCATGATTGCAGCCATGAATTTTTCAAGATTGATATTATGGTCTGCTTCGTCTCTGCCAGCCACCGTAATGTTGTCAAGATACGGGAATGTGCTCTTCAAGTTTTCTTCCTCTACCATTTTATCCATGGCGCATTGGAACACGGCTACACCATTGGTGACACTGAAAGGGATCCTGGTATATTGATACAGCCTACCATTTGCTTCAAAAGCTGTATACTTCTTGTCCTCCTCACGAATGTTCATCTGGTGATACGCGCTCTTCAGGTCAAATGTTGAGAATATTTTATATCCAGCAAGCTTATTCACCATTTCATCAATTCTGGGCAATGGGTAGGCATCTAGTTCTGTAAACTGGTTGATGGTTTGAGAATAATCTACACACATTCGCTTTTTATGCCGGTTTGTAGGATCTTTAGCAACAACAATTTGCGCTCTCCAAGGGGAGGTGGTAGTTTCAATAATGCCCTCTCTGAGTAAGATAGACACCTGATCAGCAATGAATTCCTGGTCTTCCTTGCAGAAACGTTGTGATTTGGCAGCTACCGGCTTACAATTAGGTGGCAAGTTAGGGAACAGCTGAGGCTCTGGCACAGCCGCAGCCGCAAGTGCACAGTTTCCGCCACTATTATCAACAACCATGGAAGATTTGCCTCCCCCATATACAAAGGTGATGCTCTGATGTTGCTGCTGAAAATTCTGACCCAAGAGAATTTCGCAACACAGATCATTTAAAACGCCCAGGCGCGTGTCTGGATAGCTATGTTCATTGAGTTTAATATTGCGTTCTTGTGGATTAAATTGTTGTAAGTCAAACTTGAAGCAACTCATTTAGAGCTTTAATCCACAAGAATGCAATATTCTGAAACAAGATAAAACTTCTATAGAAAATACAAAGAACAAAATAACTGAATATATTCATACATGAAATGTCACACGTAAAGCGGTAAATTGCTGGATACTTACAGAGAATGAGAATAGCAGTTAACATTGCAAGAGTTGAGCCAGTTCTGCTGATAGTCGATACTTTTCGATCAAAGTAACATACTGGCATCCACTACGGTACGGAATAATATGTACATATGAAGACTACATTTGAAACTTCACGACAGTAAATGTATGATTTCTCAACTAGCTTTATACAAAATAGATAGTAAAAATGTCAACGTTTATGCCAATATCTTTAGTTTCGCAATATTTTGATTAGTTTAGCTGCTGCAACATTTCTAGGAAATGTGGGATGCGCATCCCACTTTATCCCGCCCATCCCTCATGACCCCCATTTGATGGTACTATTTTGTCTGAAGCATTTAAGGGGACCGGCTACCCTCCAGAAAAACTTCTACAGTTATTATCCGATCATCATGAAACTTTACATACATACGTAAAATGTAAAAAATAACATTTTGCTTCGATGAATTTTGCAAAAAAATTGATAAAAAACGTGAAATTCATAGAAAATGGCTAAAGACGGGTACTTTAGAAAATCTATCTCTTCCTACAAATATCATCCTACAACATCAAGACACGTATCATTCTATTTGTAAAGACCATACCTGTTGATTCAAACATGGTTTTTTTCATTTTCCTCATAGTTTTTTTATGCGCGCTTTTCCCATTTTCCCCCCCCTTCTTCCCCATATAAAAAACGAACCAGACAGAAATTAAAAAAAGTGATGTTCAAATCGATAGGTATGGTCTTTGCGAGTTGAATGGTATGTGTCTCATTGCTGTAGCTTGAAAACTGTAGGAGGAGATTTACTGTAGGTTTTCCATGACAATAAGTTGAACTTTTCAGGACGGCGCGACAAAGTCCCACGCGCCTCGAAATAGGCACTCAATGTAGCATGGATACCAAACTACAGGCTTCTGTAGCTTAATCCACTCAAGGATGCTAGCAGCAACTTGTAGCGCACCTCTCCATACAAAGTTAGGAGGGTGACTGAGCTCAGATGCCAGATACACCAAAGTGTTGCCGCTCTAATTTTCTTAGGTCTATTTACTGAAGGAACTCCACCCCCCATTAAAGCCCGGCCGTGTGCGTCAATATTGCCGTACATGGATCGCAGTAGTATCGTTGGAAAGCTCAGAATGTCAGCTTTAAGATGATGGAGCCAGCAATTTATGGTGAGTGAAGCTAGAGTATAGACCTGTATTTTGCATGTTTCAATTCAAGTTTAATTTAGCTAGTAAAAAAATGGCATCATTTATAAAAAAAAGTGGTCTAAGTTACCCCATTTTACGGTAGTAAATTTCTGTTTATAAAAGTTAGTTTTTGCAGCCTTTGTAACCTTGTGTTATTCTTTCTTGTAAAATAAAAAAAAGCTCATTTTTGCATAGGATTTTTCAGGAATTACCAGGAAAACTATAGAATTTATGCTAAACTTTAAATAAATTCTATACCATATGAGATATGACAAAAGGGAATAAGAGCAGTTTATGCTTGCTTGTAAGAAAACCTTCATTATCAAGTTTTTCTATAAATTAGGAAAGAATAGACTATCTTGAATATTTTTTCCTAATACATTATTCTAGGATGACTACAACCTCTACAGGTTTGGATTATATCTATTTTCTAAGCCACGTTTAGAGCATACCAGTCATTTTTAGTGTCTCAATATTTCCACTTGACAAATTATCTTTTGTCTAATTGTTAACTTAACAATAGTGCACACTGCACAGTCAGACTGCAAGATACAAAGTTTAATTAAATTGCACAATTTTAGAGATTCTATGTTTCAGTAAAAAGTTGTATTTTTCTAATATTGCTTCATAAAAGCCAAAACAACTGATGTGTCCAATGGTTAATTGTCAATAAAATCATTGACTGTAACTGGTAATATCCCATCCTGGTAATAGCAACTATTAAAGGAGAGTGCTTAGGTCAGTTTTTCAGGGTAGTAAAGTCACAGGTAGTTCATAAACCATCACTGGCTTACTGACTTACCAAAATCATTTTTCATATCACAACATCAACTTAACACATTAAGTGCGGGACGACCCACGTGTGGGTGGCAGGGTCTTTTTTCAGGATAAATTCCGTGATTTAGTTTTTTCTCAATTGCATTTGTTAACAAAAATTTATGATGGCAGTACTGCCTCATTAAAATATAAAATTTACGAAAAAAAGAAAATTTAATTTTTGCACCTGAACCTACAAATTTGCTAGTGTAATTTGAATTATAGGCCTTTTTAGCAGCGGACTTGGCCGTTTTTAGGCCAGCTGCCAGCGCTGTGGGTCGTTGCCGCACTTAACGTGTTAAACTATAACTTGTGATGTGACCTCCAAGTGATGGATGCTGATTAAGACTGATGGCAGTTATAGGAACCTTTTGATTAATCAATTGATTGTGATTAACCTGAAATTACTCATAGAAATAGATTTTTTTGCTGAAAGGTAGAGATGACAGTAAATTTTTTTTGAAAGTTACCAAAATCTTGACAATAAAGTTTTATTTCTGCTGCAATGCTAGTTGTATAGTGGAATTCTATAGTTTTTTTTAAACTACTCCATTCAATTGTTCAATATTGCTTGGCTTTTTCAATACAAGTAGTCAAGTACACTATCATTTTCTTCCCTATTCCTAGCATTCTAATGAGAAGATACCAACACAGAACCTTGAAAATGTATCTTATTCTAATATCTACAACTACTCTGCTCCCTTGATAAGTTTGGACCATCATTTCAATGTAAATAAGATTGAGGCAGAAATTAATGTTTTATACATGTATTTAGTACACCACAAATGAGAATAGGTAGATAAAACAGCTTCTCTGCATGAGAAGTGATTGACTTATCTGGTCCCAAACTTATCATTTTGTTCGTATAAAATTATCAGATGGCAGAATTTGCTTGATTATACACTTGCAATTAATGACCAGAGAATTAATCAATTTAAATCATCAAAGAGTGGAACAATTTTTCAGATAATTTTTCTAGATCAAAAGGCAAGTTTTAGGTAGTACCGTAATTTTAGTTTAATGATGACATTTTGAATGCAACAAACATTTATTTTCAAGTTACCAAGTAGCCTTAAATATTTAAATTTTTGTGAAACTAAGTACATAATATACATAAAAGGATACGACAGTTAAATTTTGAACCAGACAAATTCTGTAGTAAAGAGATACCGTAGATAGCCGGAATCAAGTCCAATCTGTAAAGATGTGGGAGTTATTAATTAAAAAAAAACAATTTCAATTTTGGAATGCTATTCCCATCCTCTTCTTAACATTTAAAAATCTAGCATGACAATTACTTCCTAACTTGTATTCATATTAAAATTAGATGCAGAAAAATTTAATTGATATCCCTGTGAACCACTCTGTCCAAGAGCAATATATACACCTCATGACATCCCACTTTTCAGTTTTTTTTTTGCTGCACTTTAGTACCATTTAAGTTTCAATATGGTAATTTTCAGTTTTTGTCTGCAGTGTTCTACTTTCAGCAAAATTGAACTGTATTAAACTCTGGAGTTGATGGGTTTATGGGTTCATAACCTTAGATTACATATTTCCCGTGTTAGATGTTGATTACTTGTGGTGCTCAAATATGTGTGGTGCTCAAATATGTGTGGTGCTCAAATATGGTGCAAGCAAGACTTCATCCTGCCCATTCTTGAGTGATGGAATGCCATTTATTACTGGTCTCATTCATAGCAAGTTCATGTCATGAACGGGAATGTTTTTGTTCACTCCTCTTGTCGTCTTGTAGTTCATTACTTTACTTGTCTCTCCCACAGAACACCATGGAAGAATTACTCTCATTGAAGTGGAACAATCACCGCTCCACTTTTCTTCACATCTTAGCTGTTCTCAGAGACAAGGTGAGTTCAAATTCATTTACTGATCTCGTCTACCATTTTTATATTTTTAATGTATGCAGAAATTTTCAAAAGAAATTAAATACTCAACTCCTGACAATGGGGCTACATACTCTAGCATTCAAAATATTAATTGGTCTTATGAACTTGGTCCATTTTCTTGACATTAAAACTGGACACATTTGCAATGGGCATAGTAGTTAGATATCTCCCAAACCTCATCATTTACAATAAATTACTGCATATCACTATTTTAAAAATACAAGCTTTATGTACTTATGAGTTTGATCAACTTGATGTTTTTTTGACTTTTGCAGCAATTGTACACTGATGCAACACTAGCCTGTGATGGGAAACTCTACAGCGTCCACAAACTAGTGCTCTCAACATGCAGCGATTACTTCAGCTCGATGCTGGATCGAACTTCTTGCAAGAGCCCAGTGATCGTCCTTAAAGACATCAAGAGTGATGACTTAGAAGCCTTACTGGACTACATGTACCTGGGCGAAGTAAATGTACGTCAGAGCGATCTTTCAACTCTGATCAAGGCAGCAGAATGTCTGCGTGTCAAAGGCTTAGCAGTAGCCGACGATGAACCTCCCCCTCCCAGGAAATCTTCGAAGTCTGACTATTCGTCGAGGAGGAGCGAGTCCACGAGCAGTCCTCCAGCCAAAAGGAAAAGACGTGGTGATGCTATAGAAGATGGCAGGGACGATGTTAGACCAACCCGTACTGATAATAGACGCGTTTCTCCTAGTACTTCTAGACCAAAGAGCCCACCTAGCACTACTTTTACCTCCCCTACTAACCCCTTGAAGGCTAACTCAAGCTCGGCCAATGCAAGAAATAGTGTAGATGACCCCAGTGTCGCCAAGAGTAGTAATAGCAATGATGATTATGTAGACCTGGCGCCTTGTATTAAAGTTGAGATGACTGAAGATTCTGACCGCCCTCCCGACGACGATAGCAACATGGATGGTAACACTGGTGACATGGGCGAAGGATTACCCGACTCGTATGGCGTAGACAGTGAAAACTTCAAAGAAGAAGATGATCCAGATGATGGTGATCTCAACAGTGATCTGCCGGAGTTTCTTCAGCAAGCTACTGCTGGATACCAACACTCCTCTTTCGGTGGCCCATCTTTCCCAAGTGTGAGTGCTGGAGTCCTTAATGCTTTGGTAATGCTATACTTCCATGTTTGTTATACTTCCACGTTTGCTATATAATACTTCTATGCATTGTAGATTTTGGTTCATAAGAGAGCTGCGCGCACTTAACTCTCACCTCCATTAAGTTCTTTTCTATCATTTGTTGATAAAATTGTTATCTATAGTTGCCTGAATAATGGGAAATTCATCTTTCTTTATTGCAAACTACAGCATACGATATAATGTTATACATATTGTGCAACACATAAAAATACGATATTTTGATGAAAACTAATTTAAAGGGATTGGTATGTATCATAACAGATCTTATAAATGTATGCTCTCGTTTATTATTGTTCTATATATAAAAATTGAGTATGTATTGCTAATAGTTGTCACATTAGCACTTATAAATTTATGCTCTTGTTTATTATCGTTTTAAATTAAAAACTCAGTATGTATTGCTAATAGTTATCGCATTAGCAGGACCTGTCGTGGCAAGGCAATGAAGACAACGGCGGTAGTGGCAGCGGCTACGGCGCTGCCGCTTCATCAGCTCAGTACCCAGCGCACGACGCCGCTCAGAGCTCAGCAGGGGTGAGTGTCACTTGCTCATGTATGTGTCTTATACAGAGTTAAAACTCCCAGAGCAACCTTTGTATCGTGAAAACCTTCCCCATCTTTCAAGGAATAAATGAGTAGGCTGATTCTACTGTCATAAGGATGTATTCATCATGAATTTCATGAGTTTTTTCTGAATTTTATATCAAAAGTTGCCTCTAACGGATTAACGTGTTTTTCTTTGGAAAATTATAAAAATTAGCGAAATTTGTTGTCTTTGGTGCATATCCAGCCTGATCTCTGGTTGTTTTGGAAAGGTTTTCTCTCTGTATGATATGTCATTCACGCTCAACATCGATAACGAACGCTCCTGCCTCATGGCAACTTTCTAGTGTGACTGCAATGAGCCCTTGTAGATCATATTGAAAGTCAACTTTTTAGTGATTGTGCAAAGTTTACGTTTGAAATTCTGAAATGAATACATGCATCACCTAAATTGGTATACTGAAACGACGTATTCTCTAAGGTAGTCATAATTCATAAAAGGTCAAGGAAAGAGCGCACGTTATCTATGTATGGTGTGAAATTGGCGTAGACTGAAACCGCTCCCTCTCTTATTCAAACTGTGCCATTCATATCGGTGGTTTCTGAATTGTTGGTTCAAATTAACAATCATTCTAAAGTTATGACATCATTTATTGAACCTACAATTACTGAAACAGTTCAATGATCCACACTGCAGATATTAAATCGATGAAATTTACATTACTTGAAAAGATACAGTGGGTGTTCATTGCTGCGCTCTTCTGCGATACTTTGATCTGCACGGGGAGCTAATTTTGCTGATCAAGACAAATCATCGTGCTTTTGCAAACAGATGCAAAATGAAGACATTTTGCAATCTATTTTTGTCATTATTCTGAGTTGTCTGAATTATATTGAATTGTTTGTCGGAATAACATCCCTTGACCGTTAAGTTTCACGGTTTTTCAACTATTAAATAAAATGAACTGAAAATCTGCCACCCACCGTTCAATAAACGATGTTAAATGCTTGGCAATATCAACAGAAGCAGTATCTGTGGACCTGATACAGTCTGTGCCGTTATTGCAAGTTTATAAGAGGAAGGAGCAGTTTCATCCTACATTTCTTATAACTGCGCCCAATTCCATGTAAAATTATGGAGGAACAAGAATGGCTGCTTTATGACCTAATCAGTTGATCTGTTCCACTATAATTTCCGTCATGGAATTGATTGCTACGGACACTAATTCGCAACCATTGCTCATGTTGAAAGTAAAGAAAAATTTCTAGGTCTATTCACTGCATACGCTGCGTTATTTTGATATCTAATTTGTTTTTAAAACTCGTTGTATTTCACGTGGCAACTACTAGTAGCGTATCGTTCAAACTTCAAAGATGTATCTGCAGTAAAAAGTTTGGAGCGTCTCACAATTACTATAATAATTTGAATGTTTTTTATTCGTTAGCTGAGTCATCATTTGCGAGGGTTGCGAATTACAGACCGCGGATACCTGTCCTCGAGACGATATTGTGTGATGAACTTAGCTTAGCAAGTGTAAATGTGTCCACCTAAACCGATCCTTTTCACCGTTCTTCCAAAACTTCAAACTACGAATCTAAATTCACGAATTTCTTTTAGGATAACTAATATCGGTTTGCTATGAATAATTTCCCAAATTCTGAGTACGTAAATGTTAGTCCATCACGTCTTGGCAATGCATTGAACTGTCCAGTATAAGAAACATTTTCGTCAGTTAATCGCTTCTGCATTCTCGATATATTTTATTACATCCGTTCGTTGACGAAGATCTTGTATTCTATATGTCCGTTCTCACTGAAAGTTCAAAACTAATAATTGTTTCTCTAATTACTATTTTAATATTTCAAAATAATCTATTCACAAAAAGTTTCGTGCGTTCCTAGCCCGTTTCAGTGGACATTATTTACCTTGTGCGCTATAGGTGCATTGCATGTTATTGATTCCGATGACTGGTCGGTTATTCATATCAATATTTAATTTGGCTCAATAAATCCTGCAGCACATCGTATTGATGACCATCAAGAAACCTTGGCGGTATTAGACGCGCTGTTCTCTGTGGGATTTATTGAGTCGAGTCTTTGTGGTCGGTGAAGCATCGTGGCACTTGCCTATTATAAATAATAACATTATTAGAAAAGCAAATATAATCAGTCATCTCAATTTGTGCACTGCCGACGAATGTGCTTGGAATATTTTCCATACTTATTGTAAAATCTTGAGATCGAGCAAAGTTATGATAGTTATTAAGTGCCACAATCTCCACCGCTTGTTCGACAATATAAATTTTACAACAATATGGAAGTGATAAGAAACGTGACATATTCGTGCCTTGATTGAGCATTTCGGGATCTACTGATTTCTGTACGAGCGTCAGAAAACATTTGTGTCGCGTGTGTTCTCAAAGATTGGCACGGAGATGTCACGTAGCGCCTCACTTACACTCGTGCCTGCTCAAAACACTCACGTTATTCACTTTATCTATGCCATTATTAATGAAATTCCTCGCTTTCTTGGAGGATTGCGTATTTACACATTTGTCATCACGCTGATCAGTTTATGGATTTTTCCCATTTTTTGCGACGTAATTTTGTTGGCTTATATAGCATTTCATTGAGTTACTGAGCATGGCAACGAGGATGTTCAATTTTTCCACCACTAAACTCGCAGGTAAGGTTTTCGTGAGGCACTTGATTATGCATGGGAACAAGTGAGGGCGATCGCAACCTAATTTCCTCAATTTCGTTTGGTCGCTCTCATTTCCTCCCTCTGAAATGTTTACTATGCTCCATATACATTTTCTATAGACATGATTATTCATTATTTACGGCCTGAAATAAGCAAGATGACCGCGTCTGAGAGTTTGTGTCGCGCTAGCAACGTTCCTGCAGAGTTTGGCTCTCGTCAAGCATTGGTTCCCACATGTAATGAATAAACGATCTAATTAGGATTTTTATTGTAGACCTTCTATATTTTCTTGAATCTGAAATTCATTTGCATTCTAAGCACGGATATTCTGTTTAGTTCATTGACGAGTGGTCCCGCTAAAATTCATTTCTCGAAAGATTATAGGCAGAATTGTACTATTTAGGCATGAAGGTCTTAGTTGTATTTGCAATGGTGTGATGACATTCAATGTTGCAATCTGAAGGAATTGTTCTTGCGAGCTTCGTTTTACGATGGATAACTTGTGTGCATTGACGAACTTATTTCGTTCTTGTGTTCATGAATTTTATCGTGGCCGTGTATTACTTGTTTACTTGTATATTGAAAATTAAGGTATTTATCTGCAACTTTTCATGTAATTTTAATTAATGTGTTATCAGCTCTCTGTTGACGTGATGATTTATCAGCTCTTGTCGTAAAAGCGTAGCAAGCATTTTCTTAGGAGAACCTTATGATAACTTTGTGCTATTGTCGAGCTCTAGGATACATGACGATACGTTGTTTATTTGTAGTACATTACATCTAAACAAGTTTGTATTAGATTAATTTAATTCGAGGTTTTGTCTACAGTTAAACTTTGATGCGAGTGCAGACATATTTATTAGTAGTTCATGATCTTAATAACGAATTTGTTTTCGCTATTTAGCACATTTCCGAGTATTGTGTAACTGCAGGTAATTATGATGTTTTTTTTTTTCGTTGTAAGAAAAACTCACATTGTTTGTGTTTTAAATGTATCAAACTTAGATCGATTTAAAAGGATATTCGCATTTTCTGAATATTGTTCGTAGAGTGTTTGAATTTTTTTGCTTTGCTACATTGGTTAGAATTTTCCAGCGCAAAGATACCTGAGCGGGAAAAATGGTACTGTTCGGTCTCACGTTTCAGTATTTTCTCTCTTAAATTTGTTGCAACGAATTAACACTTTATTGATCTTAGATGAACAGATGTTGACCTTTGTTTGTGCAATTGAACACATTCGGGGTTTTAATGTCATTTTATAAATGTAATCGTTTGAATTGTCATTTAAAAATGCGTTGAATTTTTCAATACAATGGTTCTAAAAGCGGGTTTGTGCTTGCTGACTATAATTTAGTGAAATTGACAACAATTAACGAGATCCTAGACATGGACCGGTTTGAACCTGCCGCTTCAAGGAGAGCTATTAGAGCAGGCTTATTCGCTACAGTTTGATGAACTGCTTCCATTTTACGTTCAATTACCTATATATACTCCACAAATTGGTATATTAATTTCATTTTTTATTTCAATTATATGGCTTGCTTGCTCATTTTGAAATGCTTTTCTATTGCTTGCTCTTAAAGCGAAATGATATTAAATATGTCATTTCGCAATGATACTCAGTATTAATGTAACATGAGAGTTATTTCAAGGCAGAGCTCGAGGTATAGAAATTGTTGTTGCATGTTAGTGATGCATCGAGTTTCTTGCTCTCAGTATAGTCAGGAATCTTGTGCCCAAACTAAAACTCGCTACACTTCTAAGGACGATCTTATCTTGTGGTTGTTCCTCTCTGTTGACAAGCCCGGGGATTACATGATGTAGGATTGTGAGGTTGCGCTATGTACGCGTTGTAGCCTCGCAATTAAACTGCTGTTGCACGAGTTAGTATAAGCAACTAACGTTCACGAATGCTGGTTATTACGTTTAGTTTTCGTTATTAAGATAAAATCATCATCTGTCGTTGCAAGAGGTTATTGTTGGCAGCACTGCCAACAATTTTAAGCTCATGGCGATGTATTGTGCTAAGCGCTGAAGAAGAAAGACCTGGACCTGCACTGATGGATGTTTTCTTCTGTGTCCTCCGCAGGCCGCGAATATGAGCTACGAACTAGGGCACGCTGATGCAGCTCTCAATGATAGCGTGGAGGCGGCATACAAAACAGCGATGTCGTACACTAGTAATGTCAGGGAAGGTATGCCTGCCTCTAGCAAACCTTTGACTACCAGCGAAGGCGGCCACTCGCGCCTCAAGCGTAATGCTTGTCCACTCTGTCCCCTCTCCTTCTACCTCATGGGTGATCTCAAGCGCCATTTGCTCACCCATACTGGCGAGAAACCTTTCAAATGTCCTCACTGCTCGCACGCTGCTAATAGGAAAGGCAACATGATGTGGCACATGGCGTCCCAACATGGTGACAAGTCGGGACTTCCTATCGTAACTGAACTGTCCTTAGATATTTTGAAAAACCTTTAGTACGTCAGACATGGTGTTTCCCAAAGAAAAGTGGAGCTCGGAGAAGTCTGGATTTGAATTCATTGCAGATTTTATTGTAATGTCCCGCTTCAACTTCTTGAAAGCGCTATTATTATGCATAATCAAGAAGACTCCTGTAAAAATAATGTTAATTTATATTTTAAATGGCAGAAGCTAGTTTTTTTTTTAGTTATTATTCTACACTTGACACCTATCGGTTCACAACGAATGGACCGCAGATATGCGAGTGCTAACCGAAAAACCTAAAATAAATGGTTAGGTAATTTACCTTGAGATATTATAGATATTAATATTAAATGTTTGTACAGCGTCCTTTTCTCTACGGGCACTCTTGCCAAAAATTACTTGATGACTTGAGCTGACGTGTTTGGGGTTTAGCTCCTCCGTGATTTTACAAATTACTAAGTATAATAATTAAAGATAAAACAATGTGAGAAATGCCATTTATGCTGACTCTCCGATTTGTGCTCCTGACGTAGCTTCCATAATTTTATAATCGAGCTAATCGGCGTTGCTGCAATGTGCCGAGACCTCAACGAGACACAAATCAAGTTGTTTAGATTGATAGTTTCCTCATACCATCTTATGGGTATGAGGAAATTATCCTCTTATCCCCAATTATCATTATGGGGGTATCGCATCCTCTTCTTGACCTTTGAAAGGCTCATGATTCTTATCGAATTAGTTTGTTAACAAAAATTTAAGTATTTTGTAAATCACGTGAGTGATTCAGGTTTTGCAACGCTCTTGGACCATCACAGGATTCAGCTGAGCTCTGCCATTGTGATTCGTCGCACGTATTCTCATCAATACTAGTGAGAGCTAAATTATCACCGAAATAGTCATTATAGGGGTGATCAAGTTGAACTCAACTCGACTACTGCTATGCTACAATTTAGGATACCTACCGTGTTCTTCCGTGTAGTAGTGTACTCCGTGTAGTAGTACACTATGTTCTTCCTTCTAATGACAAAGTGTCAAGTGAGCTATCTGCATTTTGTGTAATTTTATGAGATATATAGAATTTACAGATGTGAACGCTTCATCACTACTTAAATCTACTCGACTCGTCATGCACTCATCAGCAGTGTATATAACGGGGGTCTTTACGTCTCGTGTTAATTTTTCATAGGTGATTTTATTTTCAATGTATTTTATTTTTTATCAAATAATCAAATTCTTTATTTTATTTTCGATACAATCTTGTGAAATGTGTAGTTTGAAGTTGCATTATTTCTTTCTAGTTTTGCGGCTAAAAACTTCCAAGAAATGTACCAATTTCCCCATTGCCATGAATTGTATTGAATCGTTTTTTTTTACTGGACGTACTTGACAGTACAGCCATAACCTCGCAGAAGAGTCTAAAGCTGAAAGCAACATCGTTAACCAGCTTGCTAAGCGCCGTAGCTTCGATTCAACCAAAGAGTTAGGCCATCTAATTCGAAACATGCGCAGACGCGGAACTCGAATTTCCCGGCACCGTAGAACTTACGATCATCGTAAGAATATTTGAGAATGCAGCCACTGATCCGTCTGCCGTCTGCTTTTGCAGGCAGATGCGGGCAACGTACTACAACGTCTGCGCAATGCCGCTGGGCCCTTGATGTCAGCATCTTCGCGCTTAGAAAGTAACTTGGACTCCATTTACGTACCCTCGAACCCTTTGAACTCTTCATTTACTCACCAACCTCGCAGACGCTTCAAGTCTTCATCGTCCTTTGAACAAGTCCAGCCAGATGAGTCGACTGACGCGGCGAAGAAACTAAGGCATTTTTCGTGTCCCTATTGTTCGACCGTCTTCACTGACAACTCAAACCTCCGTCGACACATCATGACGCACACTGGAGAACGGCCCTTCAAGTGTCCGTTGTGTAGTCATTCCAGCAGCCGCAAAGGAAACTTGATCGCGCATATCAGTGGTAAACATAAAGAATATTTCATGAATCAATACAGGCATCACGAGCAACGTATTCCTAAACAGTGCCCTCAAGTAACATCTCCTCCGCATTAATAAGATAGAACGCGCCTTTTACTGACAGAGCATCTAGTTTCCTATCCAGTAATTTATAAGGGCATTATTATTATCTAAGAGGAAAACGTGGAAAAAAGCGCAGGAAAGTATTCAGCGATTCTCTGTTACATTGCTAGAATATTGAGCTAGGAGCGATCTAAGTCGCACATTAGTCTTTATGCAAGGGAGCCGAACTGATCAGAAGTCGCATACGAGTCTTTTTATTGTAATACTGCTTAGTTCTTAGTACTGCTTCTTTTATGTTATTATATTGGATTTGTCCGATTTTAGCCTCATTTGTGTTAAATTTCTTATCAAAGAAATTTATTCTGATTTCGTTTCTTTACGATTGAATTCGTCAGTTGTCGGTGAAAATCCCCACAACCCGTTCTTTTTTTTTCACTTGCATCTCACTTCCGTCTTCTGATGATTGGAGACGGCATATCTTCAAATATATTGAAGATATGCTGGCGTCACGAACTGGCAGTATTTTCTAAGCGTGGGTTCTTTTTTTCTAAGCTCAAATATCAATTCTGGACTGGCACGCAAGTCGATCTAATATATATAATATTCTTCTATGCAAAGTAAATGAATAAAAATATAAAAAATTGAAGAGATAGGAATTTCGATTAGTCTTCATAATTCCGAGTGGCACCGTAGCGTATGCTACCCGCTCGACGTTATTTCAACAAAAATGCAGTTTGAAAATAATCAGTCTTCTATGCTATATATGTTGTATTTAATTCGAAGCCGCGTTTCAAGTTCTTGAAAGCAAAATAATGAATTACCTGAAAATGAACACGCAAACTTCTATTAAAGAATTGGCGACTTCGAAATGTCCTGCATTATTGCATTATAAGAGCGCTTAATAGTGATCGATCTTTAAGTTTTGTTTTAAAATGAATGTTCACTTGACTGAGGTTCCACGTTTCACAGCGACATTTTGAACTACTGACTGCTTTTCTCGCGTCGTTATCGGTTTCTATTTTTTTCTGAATCGCGTGGGGTTGTGAGCCTTTCCTTAATGGAAGTTCAATTATCAAAAGGCAAAAGGTTTTTGCATCTTCCTGTGAACGGAATTCTTTGTAGCACGTTTTTGTGCTTCATATTATATTTCAGATAAATATGAATTCACTTGATAATTTCGCCAGTTTGTTCTACCATTAATGACTTGATTTCAAGTTTTCAACTGCTCGATGAGTGCCAATGCGAATTGTAAACCCTCTTACTGTTTAGTTCTGTGAACAAGACTGGCCAATACTATTGATGTTCTTCCAGCAAGCTTTTACTATATCTTCTGAGACGCATTACAGCGCTAGCTAAAAGAATACATCTCGGATAAAACGAAGCATTGGGTTGCTAGACTCAAAGCCTTGTGCTCTTGTTGCTTGCATCGGCGTATCGAGCTGAGTACGAAGATTGCAAAAAAAATTCTCGCTTCATTTAATATTGCAAGACTTGTAACAGTGTATTATTGATCAATACAGTGTTCTGACCTCCGTTTTTGATAATACAAGTGCTAACAGACGAGGTTTGAGTGTTATTTTTCCCGTTACATGCCGCTTTTTTGCTTGTCTAGTTTAAGGACCTCGCACTGTATCATTTTCCTCATGTGCAAGGTACTTGCAGTTTTCAGTGTTTCTGTCATCTGTCCCTGAACGGAATTTAGGCGGAATGTTATTACTCAAGCTAAACGAATAACAAATGGGATTCGGATAGGATGCTATGTCAATAGGGTGACTTTTGAAAAAAATTATCCAAGAACCACAGAAGTCAGGTGTTCTACCAAAACCATGTCTGCCTGTAGCGTTGCTCGTTTGTACCCAGGGTCTGGACATGTTACGAGGATAATTTTTGAAAATGATGTTACTCAATTGCGAAAGTTTAGGAAAAATATTGCAATGCAACAATATTTACAGGCCTATTCTATGCAAACAAAGAAGCTTATTAAAAAAACGATTGACTCAATTGAGCTTTAGGCGGCCGAGAGTGGCGTGATATTGCGGTCTAGTGGACTTGACTATCGGCCTAAGACAAATAGAGTTCAATTGCAGTGTTGCGCAATATTATCGTATAATAACTGTGTGTAATAATTGTGTGCAGATAATGAACTCGATCACGGGCGCAGTCCGCGAGCCGCATTTCTGCCCCACCTGTGGCAAAGCCTTCAATGGACGCAATTGGAAACAAAATCTTGAGTATCATATGTTCAAACACACTGGACTGAAACCGTTTCAGTGTCCGTTCTGTAGGCACAGCTCCGCGCTCAAGTTTAATTTGCTCCGCCACATCAAAAACAAACACTCCGATGCCATGTCTCAGCCACTTCTTCCATCCACGCGGGACGGAAGCATCTCCAGCCTCAACTTCCTTGACGTGGCCGAACAAAGCTTCGAGTCCTGGTCTCAGCGCTTACTCAATTCCAGTAATACGCTCGCGTCGGTTTCAGGCCTCAACAACCCAGACTTGCGCTATAGTTCCACTACATCTGTGTCGTCGAGTGTTACTGCTAAATATAGTATCGATCAATCACCTTCAAGCGTTGAAGTCGTTAAGTCATCTCCACATCGAGTCACGCCTGCTTGGCAACACGGACAATCGACGTCTTTCTTGAGTGAAATTCCTGCGTGTACTTCTTCTCCCTTGAAACAATCGGCTTCGCCATGCACAGTTTCTGCAACTGATCGCTCATCTGTTGGTGAAAATCAAGCTTTTGTGGCAGCTGGAGGTCAAGAAACTTCTCAGCTTGGAAATGTGGCTCAATTTTCCACAAATGGAGGGGTTGAAGAGAAAAATGAAACGTTTTCTTTCTTGGATGATGGATCTACTTCGTAGATGGCCTCTGACAATGTGCTTAACCACTACACGCAGTGTTTTACTGCGTAAAGTGGTTGAGAATATAATTTTATTTGGTGCTTGGGTTAGCTGCCCATACTTACGAGACATTTTTATTCATTGTTCTGATTCTGCAATCACTTGTTGTGGCGTTCGTTCCTCCGTTTCCGAGTGGCCGTGGTAGGTGAAACTTGGTGTTCTGTGCTTCTTTCTGGCTGTTCAAATTTCGAAGCATACGGTACTCCATAAGAGTCACAACCTAAACAGGCGCGATACGTTCTGTCAATATTCACACCAAGCCGCTGATGGAAAAAATTTCATTTTATTAAGGATATTATTATGTAAAGACACGCGGTAAATATATAGAAAGCTAACTATGAATAGGAAAATATTTCATTTTATACTAGGTATTAACTTTGATGAAGACTCACGTTAACATATGTAAATCACACTATAAATTACTTGTTCACATTTGACTACCTGCATCTTGGAAGCTCAGTGATGCAATTTCAGTAGAACATTATATGAAATAACGGCGCGTACATACACTTTCTGATCAGAAGTCTTACGAGGCTCGCGAGGATGAAAACTATTACTGATCTATCACATAATTTTCCATGAGAATGCACAAGATGTCATATGCAGGGATCTCACTTACATATTTGGTTGATTAATTAAGCGCCGTTTTAAAGAAGCTCATCAAAATTAATCAATATATTGATGTGGATCAGTTGCTAAGACGATCTAGACGACAATTATGTCGCTCGCTGCAAATATCAAAATGAGTGAACTATTTGTTGTTTTTTTAATTACGTAGGAAAGCTATTTGATTCTGTTGTTTGGCGTTTTAACGTTTTAGCTTAGCATGAAATGCCTGAAGGCATAAATTATTGAGTTTTTTGATTTATCATTTAGTGAAAACCTGTCGAAAATCTATTTTCTTAAATGAAGATGCAGCTGTTTTTCTCGGAAATGATTATTTAATGCCCTAAGCACATTCGGGAATTGATGTTTCTGAAAAAAACGCCGTGTTGACCGTACGTTGTGCTCTCGTTGCAGGCCCTGTGTGGCGTTGTAGCGTCGCAATCTAGTCTCTCTGAAGACAAGGCTCAGCAACGCTTTTGCACTAAACGCTACGTCCAACCTCCTAACTGTGCCGGCTCTAATGGCTCGCCTTCATCTCTTGATGGATCCACCAAAGCCTTGGTCATGCGTTCCGAGAGCTTCGAAGCATATCCGCGATCCGACACCTCGGACCTTACGCAGGCCTTAACTCTTACTTGTAACTCTGTTCAGTACCCAACTACCGGTCAGCCTGGGGCGAATCCACATAGTTCCTTGTACAATGGAGGTCTGATAGTTTCAAGCCTCGCTTCTGGAGAGGCCTCGCTCAAAGTGAACAATATGAACAGCGTAACTTGCGAAATTTGTGGCAAGAGTTTCTGGTCGAAAAGTGACCGAGCTCGGCACATGCGCATCCATACTGGAGAAAAACCTTTTGCGTGTCCCTTTTGCTCGTATAGAGCCAATCAGAACAGCAGCGTAGTGCGTCATGTCAAGCTGCGCCACTCTCTATCTTAGCTCATATTCGTTTCAAATGATGGGAACTGCTTCATGTAATTATTTTTATTTACTGGAAAATGGTCTCGCACTAGTTGTAATTATTTAGGTTTATCGTTTTTGAAGTTGGAAAAAATTATTAATAGGCATTTTCTACGAACTCGTTTGATTGTGAGAGAAACCACAGGAACAAGATTCATCAATGTATTCGTTGCATATCCCTGAAATTAAAACATTCTCAGAAAATATTACAGGGAAATATTCTCACAATTTTTTTCTGTAGTTCCGCCACTAACTAGTTGATGCTACACAGTACGATTGTTATCATACATGTTATCGCAGCGAATACATTTGGATTTCATACTATCGTTTTTATTTTAAGTATATTATGTTACGTTATAAAATGACAGGTTGTTGAAGCGTCCTAATTAGTTTGTCGTCCGTAGGAAAGGTTCAATCGCAATCGATTAGATTTAATTTCTTTTCGTGTATACATGTGAATTTTCTATGATTAAAAATAAAAATTAATTAATTATTATTCATTTTTCCCTGCTTGAAAAAATATGACCTACTTATCACCTGGCGTATGTAGTCTGCCTTTTAATCTATGAGAGGTTCATTGTAAACGTATCTTGATTACAAGAAAACTTTCTCCGGACTCACTTCGTTTGACGAAGATTCAAATTCGTTACCGAACAGATTGAATTGAATATTTTTTATTAGTGATCCAAGAAGTGCGATATTAGTTTTTCAGAAATGTTTCCGTGACTCTGGGCTTCTTCGATCTATTCTTCTGAATATTGTCCAAGAAATGGTCTAACGGTTTTTTTCGTTAAGAGTTGTAAGTTGTGCGCAGAGAACCCTCGAGGGCACGACTACATCTTCTTCTCTGTCTGTTGCAGGTGAAAACTGAAGCCATGAGATGCAGTCTCTGCAATAAAATGTTCAAAGGCCGCAACAAACGGCAGAACTTGAACTTCCACATGATGATCCATTCTGGAGTTAAACCCCACAAGTGTCCATTCTGCTCTCACAGATCTACCTTTAAATCCAACATAACCAAACATGCTCTCCGAATCCACCCTGAAGCTTTCCGAAAATTTAATCAAGTGACTAGCGGTAGAGGAAATTATCAGGACAGGAATGTAAGCGGCTCTTCAACTGGCTCCGCTGCACTGTTAGATAGCATGGACCCGATGTCAATATGCGAACAAAATCTCACCTTGCATGTCGGCTTCAATGAATCGTTTAAGGACTCCTTGAACGCCCAGGACTCTTATTCATCGGCTGTTGAATTCTCCGAACCCAGCAGCCTGCCGCACGATGAACAGATAACCTAGTAGCCTGCTGCACGATGATCAGCTAGGAGCTGCTTCGCTATCGCCTTCACAGAAAGATCTGACTTGCACCTACGACACTTGTGGCTATGGTTTTAGTGAAAATTTTGTGCGATCGTCTGACTATGTGAGCGCGCGTCAACCGATCAAACCGAGTACTGAGCGTGAATCCAGACTGATGCGTAGGATGTAGTAACTTTTCATGCTATGTTATTCTTAGCATCGTGGCAGAAAATTGTGGTGTAGCCCGCGTTAATTTTTCCTGATAAAATAGTATTGCAAATCATGCATTCTTGTTCAGCTGTTCATTTAATAAAATTTACTGTTTGCGAATAGAAAAGAAATTACGTTTCTTGGTGGTGTTGATGCTCATTTCCTTGTGCCACTTGCAGGAGTCTACTTTCTACGCATCAAACTTGCCGTCATCTTCTGAGCTGCTCGCGCGACAAGTCTCTCTGCTCCCGTCTCAGCTCACTGCTACCCAGGGTTTAGTGTGCCAGTATTGCGGAAAAGTCATAGCGGGCCGCAACCGCCAACAGAGACTCAAATTTCATTTGCTTACTCACACTGGTGAACGACCTCATCCTTGCCCTCACTGTCCGTACCGATCACGACTCAAGTATAACCTCAAGAAGCATGTCCGTTCCATGCACGGAGGACTACCCATGTCTCCGGGTGTTAACGAAGTTGCTTTCAACATCGCTCCCGCAGCCTTTCAAGATCACAGTGAAGCTAACGAAGGAAATGCTTCCGTCATCGATGGAACCAGTGCCTCTTCTGTCAAAAATGATGGCACTC